CTCGGTGAACTCACCCCGTGGTCCTCTCCTGGTGTCTCACGTCCTCTAAAAACAAGTCTACGTCGTTTATGTCGCTGTGTTTGTTCCAGCTCTTCTTCTTGTTCTTGTTCACGCGTTTTCTCCGACCGCTGCCAGGGTCTGAAGTGGACTTTAACTTGATAAAACCTGGCTGTGAAGCCGCCACGCGTTTTAACCTCCTGCCCGGCGCCATGTTGCTGATTCACAGATAAAATTTTTTGGTCATAGATATATAATACAGTGAATTCTCCTACACTGAGTATACACTGATACTACAGTAATACTATACAGTTAAATACTTACGTACCTGAATACTACAGTAATACTACACTCGATACTACACGCGATTAATACACAGATACTACAGTGAATACTACACTGATACTCACACTGGGATTATAACACGTGCAATATACAGTAAGTACTAAAGTATACTACACTGATATAAGTAATACTTAAGTAATCTAAATCGATATCAAAGACACTGACTACAGTAAACCACACTTTGATACTATCTCAACATTCAATTCAATTTTATTTGTATAGCGCCAATTCATTACTAGAAGTTACTCAGGACAACTTCTTAATGAGCAGGTCTGTGACGAACTCCTTATTATAATGTTACAGAGACCCAGACTAGTATTAACCACACATAATGGTATGCAAGCACTTTGGCGACTCAGGGGGTCAGGATAAACTGCCTTTTACGGGCAGAAACTATGGACAGATCCGTTCGGTCATTCTTCTAGGATGGGTGGATCATCTCTGCATTGACCAGTTGGGGAAGAAATGAAGAGAGGGGAAGAGAAGAGAGTGAGATGAGACATGTTAGAGCGCAAAACGATGTACACCCGCATACAACAGTAAGCAACAATACATTCAACAGTAATTGAATCTGAATGACGATCATGGAAAAAGACGGTGACGACGGCGACAGCAGCAACGACGGGGACATGCGAGCAGCGCAACAGCAACCGCAGCAGAACAATAGTCAAAACACTTATAATAACATAAATATCAGTGATATTAGCAATTGGCAGTTCTACAGGACCATGGCAGGAGGCTCCACCAGGATCATGAGTTAACCTGCGAAGACGATAAAGCCAAGAACTCGGGGAAGAAAGTGAAGTTAGCTAATCATGCTTATGGCATATGAATGAGTGCAGAAAGAGAGAGAGAGGAAAGAGAGGAGCTCAGTTGCACCATGGGAAATCCCCGATAATGTCTAAGGCCTAAATGCAGCATAACTAATGAGATGGTGTTCAGGACTCACTGACCAGTCTAATATAAGCTTTAATCAAGGGAACGTCTTAAGCCTACTCTTATACATGTGAGATAGGGTATCTGCTCAGACACCAACAAACTGGAAGCTGGATAACTACGGTAAATATATCCAGTAATATACAAGGGTAAGAAAGGTCATATACATTCTGCATGATGTGATACCATTCATCATATAATATAGAATAAGATAACTGAACATTGGATAAAATGTAATCAAAAATAATAATAATTATTTAAAAAACATCATTATAAAAACATCAGTACTCGATCCTTTATGAATGAAGTCTTCAAACGACAGGTGAAGTGTATTTCTGCTGCAGGTGTGATTACTGAAGGTGTTTGATCAATCTCAGGTTTCAGACAGCGGTTGCCTAGCAACACACAACATAATAACCACCACTAACACACACACTCTCCGTCACACTACAAAAAAAAAAACAACACAGAAAAACTAAAGACAAAATAAAAAAAAATAACTATAAAAGAAATGAAAATAAAGAAGATACACTAACACACACACACACAAGAACACCACACCACACACTAAAAACACAGACACACGAACACACACACACACACACACACCACACACACATCATCCAATAACTAACCACACACACAGCACTACTAACTTCACACACACACATAGCACATCCACACTCTCTCTCTAACCTACACCACACACAACACTAAACACACGACACACAGACACAACACACACACACACTAAAACAGCACACTCTCTCTCTACCACACTACACACGACTACACATACACACACACAGACACACACACACACACTAAACAACACGACACACGAACACACACACATCACACACACAAAACGAGAACACACACACACACTAAACTCAACACAGAACACACTCAAACAACATTCTCCTCCTACACCTCAACACACACACACACACGACACTAACTCACATACTCAGGGTGTTGGAGTCTAATTAAAGCCTGAAGGATTCTTCGTTACACAGCTGAATGATGCACTTACACTCTCCATTCATCCCCCCCTCTGGGCACCACAACACCCAGGCAAGACGATTAAAGGAATAATCCAACTGATCAATAAAAAATAAAATACGCTTCCTCTCTCGTCTGGTAGCGTTAGCATAAAAAGTACACAGCTTAGCATGTTATAAGCTAAAGCTAACGCACACCATTCCAGCAGCTTTATTCACATTAAACTAACACGATAATTTATATATCGTTATATTAACAGTTCCTCTGTGAGCTTCAGAGCTGCTGCTGCTCGGTGCAACAGAACGAGCTAGTCCTCATGCTAAGCATAAGCTAACTGTAAGCGCATCTTGAAAGCGTTTTACTACCAGTAGTTGTGATCACAGTATGGACCAAAACTCAACCAGTAACTGGGAATATCTGGGTTTCCTTCTCAGACCAGAGCCGGAATGGACCAGCACAGGTACCAGGTACCCTGATACAAGCTCAGACCTGAACACAGAACACGACAATAAAGCAACACAACAACAACACGCAACTAGAGGATGTTAAACGGTATGAAAATTTAACTCACGGTTATAGTGACCAAAATTATCACTGGTTTTCGGTAATATCGCGGTATTGTGGTTCAATATGTTCAGACAAAGCACTGATAGGCCTAACACAACTGAAATAGTTTCAAAAAGTGTAACAGTGTTATATTACAAAACCTTATCAAAAGCATCAAAATGTAAACATCAACAGGAACAAGGATTCCAGCGCATGTAAAACAGCTTATGTTGTCAGGAATATTTTCCCAGTAGTGCAGGTTAAAATGATACAAATCCAAACATTTCAAGCTAAGACATAAAAAACAATATTGTAAACAAATCAAAAGAAACCACTAATTCTATGCTTGTTTTCTTCATCAAATTAAATGTAAAACTGTTAGTAGCTTTTTTGTCAGGAAAATGAACCATTGTGCAGTCTATGTGGGACACTTTTAAACTAATACTAAAAATGAGACAAAAGTGCATTATGCATTTACAATAAATAGCACTATAAACAAAATTACAAAAATAACTACAAGCACGTAATCAAATGCCAAATGTTTAAAGTGTTGATGACAGTAAAATAAAAAACTAAATATGTAAACAAATCAATGGAACAGAACTGATTTTATACTTATTCTCTCCATCATCAAAGCAAATAAGATGCTGCTGATCTAAGCATCCTGTATGTATGCATCTCTATTCACTTGAAGATTAAAATGTAGAAATTCAACCATGTTTTACTTTGTTTTGGTTTAAGTAGTGATTACGAGGGGAAAAACATGTACCCGCTGGCACTGAATAGTCTCTCTGAAGGAAACACTGGTTTGCTGGGATGCACTGAAGCTTTCTAGCAATCCTGGCAAGATGAGGCAGTTCTGATGCCATGGCCCCTCCACACACCCAGTGGATCATCCTCGGCTGGAATGGATGGCAGAGACATGTAGACTTGATCTCCTCCTTCAATGTATTTATCTGGGGTGGCTGGACTGAACCATCTTTAGACTCTGCTGCCTTGTTGAGGGTAATCTTTTTTTAGCAAACCCAGCCAGGCCTTTCCCTTCTGATACTGGCTGTGGAGGTACTGCTGGTTCTTTCCTGGGTTCCATGCCCTGGAATTTGTACAGGTGTCAGCTTCAAGGCCTCCTGGAACACAGCTGTCCAACTACAGCATTCAGGAGGCTCATCTAAAAAGTTAGTTTTTGAAACCTGGGGTCAATTGAAACAAGCCATCGCATGACACCCTTTTGCTTCTCTGTGTAACCTCTTGTTTAGGTCATTCTCTCATTACCTGTGTAGAATGCAAGTGTCCTCACAGTTTTATACATTTGGACTTTGAAGCTTTAATAAACTCTCATTGCATTGTCACAGGTAACATGTCGCATCTCACTCTGCTCGTGCAGCGGCAACTAACTCAACCAGTAAACACAACATGACTTCCTTCAGTCTCTTAAAGGGATCTACCTAGTTCTCAACAACATTACAACGCTGTTTCATCTGCTTGGTCAGGGCTTGGATCCTCATCATTTCCTCAGGAATATCACCAGTGATGTGGTCAGGACTGGCTTAATGGGCTGATATAGTTACTGCGTGTCTCCTGAGCCAAGTGCATAGCTGTAAAATGTGGCTCAGAAGGTTCAAGAAGCTGGCAGAGTTGCTCCATAACAACTAATGTCAAGCATCCCTTGGGCATCAATGCCCAAACCTCCCCCTTTCTGCAGCCAGTGTAGCACAGACTGCCTGCTGCTTGCTGAGGAACGTTAATGCATACTTCTATGTAGATCCCCATCGGGGTCACTACATCATGGATGAGATCCTTTTTGTGGGCAAGGTTGAGGGCAGCTTGCTTTTTGGGTGTAGTGCTCATCGTTTTCCTTCCAGCTCCGTGAGAAGCCTTGGACCACATGACGACAGGCCCTGGAACTGCTGTCTCTGGAAGGAACACAACAATAACAGCAACACAATACAGCAATAACAGAACACAACAACCACAACAATACGCAAACACAACAATACAGCAACACAACACAGCAACAACACGACAACACAGCAACAACACAACCAATAACAGCAACACAACAATACAGCAACACAACAATACAGGCAACACGGCAACACAAAATCGCAACACACAACAAGCAACAAGCCAACAACACGACAACCAGCAACACACAACACAGCAACACAACAAACAGCACACAAAAATACGGCATACACACAACACCAACACAACAACACGGACACAAAGAAACACAACACAGCAACACACAACACGACAACAAAGCAACACAGCAACAACAACAACACAACAATACAGCACACAACAATACAGCAAACACAACAACACAACAATACAGCAACACAATACAGCAATACAGCAACACAACAATACAGCAAACAGCAAACAACACAACACGACAACACAGCAACAACACGACACAGCAAACAACACAACATACCAGCCACAATAAGCAAAACACAACAATACAGCAACACAACCAATACAGCAACACGGCAACACAACAATACAGAACACAACAAACACAGCAACACAGCAACACACGACAACACAGCAAACAACACAACAATACAGCAACACAACCATACAGGCAACACAACAATACGGCAACACACAACACAGCAACCAACACACGACAACAAAGCACACAACAACACAGCAAAACACAACAACACGACAACAAAGCAAACAACAACAAAGCAACACACAACACAACAATAACAGCAACACAAATACAGCCAACACAACAACACAACAATACAGCAACACAATACGCAATACAAGCAACTACAACAATACAGCAACATCAGCAAAACAACAACAAACAACACACGCAACACACACAACAAAGCACACCAACAATACAGCAACACAACAACACAAAATACAGGCAACCACATATCAGCAATACAGGCAAACCGACAACAAACAACAAAATAACTGCAAAACAGCAACACAGCAACACAAAAACAACACGCAACAACACAACAATACAGCAACACAACAATACAGCAACACAACACCAAAATAAGCAAACAACACCAGCAACAACAACAACACAACAACAAGGCAACACACAACACAACATACAGAAACACAATACAGCAATACGCAACACAACAATACAACAACAACACAGCAACAACACAACAATAAGCAACACAACAATACAGCAAAACAAACAATACAGCAACACAACAACACAACAAACAGCAACACATACAGCAATAACAGCAATACACAGCAACCAACAACACAAAAATACAGCAAAACAGCAAACAGCAACACAAAACACAGCAGACAACACAACAATACAGCAACACAACATACAGCAACACAAAACAACAATCAGCAACCACAACACAGACACAACAACACAACAACACAGCAAACAAAACACACACAATACAGCAACACAATACAGCAATACAGCAACACAACAATACAAGAACACAGCAACAAACAACAACAAGCAACAAACACAACAATACAGGCACACAACAACAACAGCAACCAAACACAACACAGCAACACAGCAACACACAATACAGCAACAAACAACACAGCAAACACAGCAACACAACAACACAGCAAACAACAACACAGCAATAAGCAACACAACAACACAAAACACAGCAACAACACACACGACAACCAGCCAACAACACGACATACAGCAACACAACAACACAGCAACACAACAACACAACAACACGCAACCAGCAACAAACAATGCAGCAACACAACAACACGCACACAACAAACAACAACACAGCAACACAGCAACCAACAATACAGCAACCACAACAACACAGCAACACAGCACAAAACAACACAGCAACAAACAACACCAGCAAATACAGCACACAACAACAAAACAACACAGCACAACACACACGAAACACAGCAACAACACAACAATACAGCAACACAACACACAGCAACCAACAACACAAACAAACCAAAAAAAAACAAAAAAAGGCACACGCCAAAAAAAACAACAACAAATCAGCACACACAACAAAAAATACGCAACACAACAACACAACAACACAACAACACAGCAACACAACAAACAACAATACAGCAACACCAATACAGCAATACAGCAAACAACAACAATACAGCAAAACAGCAACACAACAACAACACCAGCAACAACACAACAATACAGCAACACAACAACAAAGCAACACAACAACACAACAAACACAGCAAACACAACAATACAGCACACAACCAACACAGCAAACACAGCAACACACACACAGCAACACAGCAACACAACACACAGCAACAAACAACACACAACACAAGCAAACACAACAAACAACGCAACACAACAACAAAACAACACAGCAACACAATACAGCAATACAGCAACCACAACAATAAGCAACACAAAAACAGCAAACAACAACACACAACACAGCAACACAAAAACAGCAACACAGCGAACACAACAACACAGCAATACAGCACACACAACACAAGCAACACAACAAC